TTATGGAAATAAGTATTGTATTATTTTTTAAAAATATTTTTAAAAATCTATTGTGAGAGAGAATGAGAAAGAGAGAGAGTGTGTGTACACACACAAGTGGAGGAGGGGCAGAGAGAGAGGGAGAGAAAGAATCCCAAGCAGGCTCTGCACTGTCAGCACAGAGCCTGACATGGGGCTCCATCCCATGAACTGTGAGATCACGACCTGAAACGAAATCAAGAGCTGGATGCTTATCCAGCTGAGCCACCCACATGCCCCTGTATTATTTTAATAAAAGAATAAAACATTTGCCTATTACCTTGCTAGTTTATGAGACTCTTCTTGATTCTGATGATTAAATCCTTTATATAAAGTATAATTAATTTAAGTAGATCCCGAATATAAAGTTTTATCTTGAAATGTTCAGAGATCATATAAACTCAACTTGGTTTGGTTTATTGCTTAACTTGTTTAAATGTGTTCCCTTCCTGTGAAATGATAATTTGGAAACTTGAACATAGGATATTAAACAATAGAAAGGATTGAGTTCACTGCCTAATTCTTAGCCCCTGCTAGAATAGGAGGCTAAACTTTAATTTAGGGGACAGAGGCGTCATAGTGTGCTATTCATCCTAATAAATTTTGTAAGCTGGTCTAAGAGAAATTTGGGGGTTAATAAGTACTTTGGCCTCTTCCTTTCATTGCAGAGTGAGGAAACTTAGCTTTAAAAATAAATGGAGGGGCACCTAGGTGGCTCAGTTGGTTAAGCGTCTGACTTCAGCTCAGGTCATGATCTCGTGGTTCCTGAGTTCAAGCCCCAAGTCGGGCTCTGTGCTGACAGCTCAGGGCCTAGAGTCTGGTTCAGATTCTGTGTCTCCCTTGCTCTCTGCCCCTCCCCTGCTTGTGCTCTGTCTCTCTCAAAAATGAATAAACATTAAAAAATTTGAAAAAAAATTGGAAAAGTCTTCATTCTTTATAATAATCTCCTTATAATAATGACCTTATGACCATTGGATTCAATTCAGTCATCTAATGAGCTAGAAGATGACAAGTGAATACCTAAGTGACACCAAACTTTGGTTTCTCTTAGAAAGTGTCCAAAGCACCTGTCTTTCCTATGCATATATATATATATATATATGCATAGGAAATATATATATATATATATATATATATATATATATATATATGCAGTACATTTTCTCTCATTCCATCATCAAATACTTTTTTGTATTTATCAACAGGACGATCTAATATCAACATTTCAAATTCTTTCATTTGGGGATATCTCCTGACTGTTTACCTGAGTAGTCCCCCCTCTCCACCACCAATCTGCGAAGATCTTATTAAGGGAAACACAAATGTGGGGGCGTAGGGCTTGGCAAAGAGACCATGGTGGTGATGAAGCTCAGAAGGAGATTTGGGGTCATCCATCCTTCCTGTGCTCTTCATACAACCCCTCCCACCCCACACCAAAGCTTTGCAGAGCTACAGCATAGCATGACCACTGAAAATACAGAGTTAAAGAAATATCGGAGTCCTGAGACTTTTCCAGCATATTTTGAATAGAAATAATCTTGGCTGTAGTCAACAGCAGACAAGCTAATTATTTGTTCACATGTGCTTTGGCGAGTGTTTTGCTCATTTGGGGGCTTGTAATAACTTTGGAGTTTGTCCTTCGTGAGATGAGAACCTAAGACGGTATCTTTTCCACTGGTTCCAAGTTATAAGGCATTTTGGGGTAAATTTTGTAACCATGTAGGAATTGGAGGTCAAAGCAGGAAATAAGCATTTGGAGTGGGTCATTCTTTCCTGGGCTAGATAGAAAACATTTATCTCTTGAAGGCTTATCTTACTAGGAGAGAAAGTCTTGATTTAAGGAGATATCACCACAAAGAGGAGAGGCTTATAGGAGAAAGCTCTTTCCACAGCAGTACTTTTGTTCTCATAAACAGTGGCTCAAGTCAAGAGTGAAGTGTTAATAGTGCTTTTGAGGTGTGGAGCCATACCTGGGGTGTAAGAACTATATACGTGCATTTTCAGCAACACTGATTTCCCACTGAAGGTTTGTTAGAGACTATTAGAGGTTTTATAACTCTGTTGACAATAATCCTGCTTAGAACATGATCTGCTCATATAAAAATATTTTTTTCTGTGAAAGGTCTCATTAGCTTAAAAATCTAGGCAAACGGTAGCTTTAAGAGCTGAGTCACAGTCTACCTTACTATCACAATTCAGTTTCCTACCTTACTATCACAATTCAGTTTCCCTCTATTGTACTTGGTAGATTAGTCCTATCTGAGCAGTGCCATTAGGTGCCTGCCTGCACGGTGTGGAAACACACACACACACACACACACACACACACACACACACACACCTGAAATTTCTGAACATGTGGGTTGTGATGAATTTAAATGTTTTCTTTTTTTTTTAAAAAGTTTATTTTATTTTTGGGACAGAGGGAGACAGAGGATGAACGGGGGAGGGGCAGAGAGAGAGGGAGACACAGAATCAGAAACAGGCTCCAGGCTCTGAGCCATCAGCCCAGAGCCTGACGCGGGGCTCGAACTCACGGACCGCGAGATCGTGACCTGGCTGAAGTCGGACGCTTAACCGACTGCGCCACCCAGGCGCCCCTAAATGTTTTCTAATAGTGCAACTGTGTCTAAACAGCTGAAGATTTATACTTGTTTTTTAACTTAAGGATGAGGAAATTGACTACTATAGGATAATTAAAAATCACAACTCTCTGAAAAAGCATGAGCTAAGTTGTTAAATGCCAGGGCATCAAGAAACAATATTCTGTAATCTGTACAGATTTTTTTATTCTGTAAATAAATTGGGTAATTTATATCTTTGTCACTTGAACATCAGATAAGTATTTGAGTTAATGAATCATCCCACCAACATCCCATAACTAAATCAAATTTTGTTTTCTTTTCACAGGCAAGGTTTTAGTCAATTGAATAATAAATCATCCTGCCTTTTTTTCTGAATCACAGGATAGGGAGGCTCTTACAGACAGGATGACAATTAAATAAGCCCTCAGAGGAGAGATTCTACCCTATTTTAAAAGAAGGCCAGGGAAGGAGAGAGTCCCGACTATTTTGGTCAGACTTTTAAGTGCTTAAAATAGTAATATCATGTGTCTGTTTTTAAATATTTTCAGTTTATCACTGAAGATTTGTCTTAAATGCAGAGGTCAAGAATGAATCAACTTCTTGATAACCCCCAATATCCTGGTCAGGTCCTGCAGTGACCAGGCGTATGAAGAAATGTTCCTCTTCCTTCAAAAAGACTCATCCAATAAGCACCTACAGTTTACAAAGAATATTCATGCACACTCTTCCTTTTGAGTCTCACAACAACACTATTATATGTAAGGATTATTGATTCCTATTTAAAAGCTGAAATTAAGAATCAGGGAGGCTAAGTGACTTACCTAAAGTCATATATTTACTGAGCAGAAAATTACAGCTTGAGACTAGTTATTTTTATGTAAGGACAATGCCTTTTGCATTTGACACTTTGCTGCTGTTTTGCTATGCTTATAAAATCAGTCACTGTAAACATGCATTTAGGTGCTTTTGCATAATTAGTTCCTGGGAGAATTATATGAATTGGTGATCTGGTTGGGAACATTATCAACTTCAGTCTGTGGTCTTAACAGAGGAAAGTATAAAAGAGTATCCAGTTTTAAGTGGCATTGGTCAGATGCTCAGTGTAAAGGAATTGGGAGTGATAGATACAGTGGACAGTCTGGGACTAAGAGGATATCTGTTATGTTACGAATACAAGGATTGGACCTATAATTTGGGAAAGACAATATGTGAGAAGGCCAAGATATATCCAAGAACAAAGCAGCCACAAGAAATAATTAACCTGCTTAAGGCACACTAATCTGAACACAGAAAGTCTGATGCCATCAGCACTGTGGTTCAGGGAAGTGTGGCAAAATGGGCTGAGGATTCTGTGAGACTAAGATGCAGAGACACTTTCAGAAAGAGGTAAAATGCAAGGTGCAAGTGTTCTCTGTGAAATTCTGTGGTGAAAGGCTTGAAAATTTAATTTACATTGGAAGAACCTTAAGAGTTAGTGGAACCATTAGGATTTCTGTTTAGTTCTGAGCTGTGGCTGCTAATAGCTTTATACTGAAACACAGGTGCTGATTCTCATAAAGTTCATCTAAACTGTGTACCTCAGTCTACAAATTTGATCAAGTGAGAGTCATCCGTTTGTCATTGGCTTCCAATCTGACTTTCAAGAAACTTACTTCCCTCAAAATAGTTTGAGGGGAAAAAGTGACTTTTAGTTATGGTATATTGTCAGTCCTGGGGTGCTTGGGTGGCTTAGTGGGTTAAACACCCGACTTACGTTCAGGTCATGGTCTCACAGAGCCTCTGTGTTAGGCTTTGTGCCAACAGTGTGGAGCCTCTTTGGGATTCTCTCTTTCCCTCTCTCTCTCTGTCTGCCCCTCTCCTGCTTGCAGTCACTCGCTCTCTCTCTGCCTCTCAAAAATAAAAAAAAATAAACACTTAAAAAAGGCATATTGTCAGTCCTTTTTGATATAAAGCATATTAAGGTGAAAATCTTTTATTTGAACTAGTTTTAAGTTTAAAACTTAAATTGTTGCAAAGTATAAATGAAGAAAACTTTTTAAAGAAATCCAGCATTATTTCTTTCACATATCTATAGGGACTTGAGCTCGTCCCTACATGTAGTGGTTCTTAGGGAATCTGCTTTAATGAACAAATGAGTGATTTGTAGTTAACTTAATAGTTGCTTTTATTTCAAAGAACACCAGGCATTTGAAAAATAAGTTTTTCTTTCTAAAGCTAATAATATCAATTTTCTTGGCAATTTGTCTTTTTCTGGAATTGTGAAAATGTGAATTTAGGCCAGCCTCTGTCCAAATAATCCTAATATCTGAATGGAGTCTGAGGAGTTCATAGACTGTTATTGAATTTTGTCTATTTTCTAAGGGATAATTGATTCCTTATTTTCAACTTATTTTACAGGATCCTTCTAACCAAAAATGCGGCGGAAGAAAGAAAACCGTGTCTTTCAGCAGCATGCCGTCAGAAAAGAAAATCAGCAGTGCGAGCGACTGCATCAGCTTCATGCAAGCTGGCTGCGAACTGAAGAAGGTCCGGCCAAATTCTCGTATTTACAACCGTTTTTTCACTCTGGACACAGACCTCCAAGCTCTTCGCTGGGAACCTTCCAAGAAAGACCTAGAGAAAGCTAAGCTTGACATTTCTGCCATAAAAGAAATCAGACTGGGGAAGAACACAGAAACATTTAGAAACAATGGCCTTGCTGACCAGATTTGTGAGGACTGTGCCTTTTCCATACTCCACGGGGAAAACTACGAGTCTCTGGACCTAGTTGCCAATTCGGCGGATGTAGCGAACATCTGGGTTTCAGGTTTGCGGTACCTGGTTTCTCGAAGTAAGCAGCCCCTTGACTTTATAGAGGGCAACCGGAACACGCCGAGGTTCATGTGGTTGAAAACAGTGTTCGAAGCAGCAGATGTTGACGGCAATGGGATTATGCTGGAAGACACCTCTGTAGAGTTGATAAAACAACTCAACCCTACCCTGAAGGAATCCAAGATCAGGCTAAAGTTTAAAGAAATCCAGAAGAGCAAAGAAAAACTAACCACACGAGTGACAGAAGAGGAATTTTGTGAAGCTTTTTGTGAACTTTGCACCAGGCCGGAAGTGTATTTCTTACTGGTACAGATATCTAAAAATAAAGAATATTTGGATGCTAATGATCTCATGCTCTTTTTAGAAGCTGAACAAGGAGTTGCCCATATTACCGAGGATATGTGCTTAGACATTATTCGAAGATATGAACTTTCTGAAGATGGCCGTCAGAAAGGGTTTCTTGCAATTGATGGCTTTACCCAGTATCTGTTGTCACCAGAATGTGACATTTTTGATCCTGAGCAAAAAAAGGTTGCTCAAGATATGACCCAGCCATTATCTCACTACTACATCAGTGCTTCTCATAACACCTATCTCATAGAAGACCAGTTTAGGGGGCCTGCTGATATTAATGGGTATGTTAGAGCTTTGAAAATGGGCTGTCGAAGCATTGAACTCGATGTAAGTGATGGTTCAGACAATGAACCCATCCTTTGTAATCGAAATAATGTGACAACACACCTTTCCTTTCGAAGTGTCATAGAGGTGATAAACAAATTTGCCTTCGTTGCTTCTGAATACCCACTCATTCTTTGCTTGGGAAATCACTGCTCCCTACCCCAGCAGAAGGTAATGGTTCAACAAATGAAAAAGGTCTTTGGCAATAAGCTCTATACTGAGGCACCTTTGCCATCAGAAACCTACCTCCCATCACCAGAAAAATTAAAAAGAATGATTATCGTCAAAGGAAAGAAATTGCCTTCTGGCCCAGATGTTTTAGAAGGAGAGGTCACAGATGAAGATGAGGAAGCGGAAATGTCTCGAAGGCTGTCAGTAGATTACAATGGTGAGCAGAAGCAGATCTGGCTGTGTAGGGAGCTCTCTGATTTGGTCTCTATCTGTAAATCTGTTCAATATAGGGATTTTGAACTGTCCATGAAAAGTCAAAACTACTGGGAAATGTGTTCATTTAGTGAAACAGAGGCTAGCCGAATTGCAAATGAATACCCAGAGGATTTTGTAAATTATAATAAGAAGTTCTTATCAAGAATCTATCCAAGTGCCATGAGGATCGATTCCAGTAACTTGAATCCACAGGACTTTTGGAATTGTGGCTGTCAGATTGTGGCAATGAATTTTCAGACTCCCGGTCCAATGATGGATCTTCACACAGGCTGGTTTCTTCAAAACGGAGGATGTGGTTATGTTCTAAGGCCGTCCATCATGCGAGATGAAGTTTCTTACTTCAGTGCAAACACAAAGGGCATCGTACCTGGGGTGTCTCCTCTAGCTCTTCATATCAAGATCATCAGTGGTCAGAATTTTCCAAAGCCCAAGGGAGCTTGTGCCAAAGGAGATGTCATAGATCCTTATGTTTGTATAGAGATACATGGAATTCCAGCAGACTGTTCAGAACAAAGAACTAAAACTGTACAGCAAAACAGTGATAACCCTATTTTTGATGAAACTTTTGAGTTTCAAGTAAACCTACCTGAGCTGGCCATGATCCGTTTTGTTGTTCTAGATGATGACTACATTGGGGATGAGTTTATAGGACAATATACAATACCATTTGAATGTTTGCAGCCTGGATATCGGCATGTTCCCCTGCGCTCTTTTGTGGGTGACATCATGGAGCATGTAACCCTTTTTGTCCACATAGCAATAACTAATCGAAGTGGAGGAGGAAAGCCACAGAAGCGCAGCCTGTCAGTGAGAATGGGGAAGAAAGTTCGAGAATATACCATGCTCAGGAATATTGGTCTTAAGACCATAGATGACATCTTTAAAATAGCAGTTCATCCTTTACGAGAAGCCATAGATATGAGAGAAAATATGCAGGTAGGAAAAATCCCAAACTTTCCCCCAACCTGCTCCTACTTCTTCCTACCCTTCTCTTACCAGGGAACATTGTATTTTACTTGTGATCTGATTACAGAAAAAAATTACCAGAAAGGTTGTATAAACTCATAAACCACCAAATTAAGTGCTACCTGTAAAAGCAGATATATTTCATGTGTCTGATTATAAATGTTAAATTTATATGTTAAATTTATATGTTATATGTTAAATTTGGCCTGAACTAAACAAGCTAACATAAATGCTTTATACATCCATTAGATATCCCTACCACATAACCAAATAGATATATGGCGTTGTGTATATGAAGACTATAAAATATTATATGTATGTACAATATATAAAATATTATATATATGTACAATACTAGTTACAAGTATATATGTAAAATATTTGCAGATATGAACATGAAAGGGAAGTTGAAGTCATATAAACAAATATAATGCCTTCAGTTTATTTTAGTTAAGTGTACAACAGCAATAATAAATTACTCCCATTAGAAAACACAACTAAACAAACAATATTCAGCACTTGAACATGTTGAAAACTAGGTAGCCTTCTCTTAGAAATGTGGTTAAATTGAAAGTTGAAAGAACATGGATTCTGGCTTAAACTCTATCCCCTTATGATCTTGAGCGAAGTTTTTCAGATCCCTGATCATCAGTTTTGTCCAAATAAGGTAATGAAAATAGTAATACATCACAGAATTATTATTAGAATTAAATGACAGTATATGTAAATTTCCTGGTGCTGACATGTGGGAATTCAATGTTAGTTTCTTTCCCTTTATTAATGTTGTAATCAGAGATGGTTGCCAATTTCTTTCTTCAGTACCATTGAATGTACTTATTCTAGGCTCATATTACTTAGAAACCATCAAACAACAAATACTGAGTTCCTGCAATACTCAAGGAGGTGTTGGTTAGCAGAAGTAGAAGCCTGAGAGCAGAACAAAAGAGGAATATTTTTCAATGCACCTAATTTGCTCCTTTAGCTAACATTCTAATAGTAATTCTCACCCAGAAAATCCCTACTTTCAAGACAGAAAACAAGCTAGAAGAAGTTAGGTGATTTCCCAAATAGGAAATGGAAATAGGAGGTAAATAGGAATGTTGGGCTTTAAATCCAGAATTGCTGACTACCAAAAATCATTCATGGTTTTTAGTCAGGTGATGCTGAACCTCAAATCCATCATTTGGTGAAGACTTTGTTTTTACATTATTTCACAGAGAAATTCAACATAGACTTAAAATCAGTTTAAATAGCTAAAATGGTAGAAAATAGTATGACACATAAATTACATATAAACACTTAGATGGTGAGCATTTATTTGAGGTGGTTGCCTTAGCCACTGTTTTAAAAATAGGCTCCAAATATTAGCATCTTCTACATGACTTTTTCTGACATAATTCAAAGCTACTATAAATCCCTGCTTCAGATTAGTTATGTCATTTCTACATCTTATTTTGTATGTTACAAGTAGATTTTATTTATTTCTATGGAATTCTTAAAAATATATCCTTTCACATATTATGTGTTTAAAATACATGTTAAGCAGAGTTGGTTATAAATAAAGTTTTTTCAGATAGCATTGATAATTTATATCATCCCAACACATAGTCTTTTGGGTTAAGAATTGTTTGGAGCCTAATCAGTAGAAAAATGAAATACTATCATTGTCACTAAATTCGTTCGACATAGAATAGATTAGGTACTGCTCCCTATTAATAAAACACAAAATAGGCATAATTCCTATTTCAAATGAATTTTAAAAGCCTGTAACATGGACAAATGTAGCTATACATGAAATTTGTTTCAGTATGTGCACCTGTCAGGTGCATTTCTGATGCGACGACAAAGAAATACCTTTGATGGTTAGTCGAATGGAGGATGGTGAGTAATTGCAGCCTGCTACCTTGAGGGGAAAAGCTCACAGAAGATGCACTCCAATGTACAGTCATGGACTTATTTTTAAGATCATCATGATACAAATCAAGTAAGATATTCACAACCAGCCAATGCTGATTTGTGTGACTATTCCAGTGCTCTGCTTTGAAAAGCACTGTGTAGCCTTGGTTCACAGTCTGCTTTACTTTATGGCATAATGTGACAGTTGCTAAAAATGAGAAAGATGAGTTGTAATCATGGATTAGCTCTGTGTGTCATCTCTGCACATTACATTTTTGGCTGATTATAATCCAGTTTCCTCCAAACATATATGCATTAAAGGGTATACTTTTAATGAATATACTTTAGTGTAAACCTAGAAGTGCTGGGGGTGATGTGTCATGTGGTCAGAAGTATAATTCCATGTTTTCTTCCCCACAGAATGCCATAGTGTCTATTAAGGAGTTGTGTGGACTTCCTCCGATTGCCAGTCTGAAGCAGTGTCTGTTGACCTTGTCCTCTCGGCTCATCACCAGTGACAATACTCCCTCAGTCTCTCTTGTGATGAAAGACAACTTTCCTTATCTGGAGCCTCTGGGGGCAATTCCAGATGTGCAGAAAAAAATGTTGGCTGCCTATGATCTGGTAGGAAATTGTGACTCTATATTTCTTACCTGAATGTGTGTGTGGGGGGGGGAATCATCTGACAGGGGCTCCTTTGTGTAACTCTGATGAGTAAATAACATTGCAGGTGGCAGACACAGCACACCCACTCAGCTTCCCCTAGGTCCCAGTGAAGACCTCTGAGGCAGTGCTTTGAACCCAGAGCCCCACAGATTACAAATAGAAATTCTCTGCTTTAGCAAGGAATGAATTATTGATAAAGTCTTCAAAGAACAATTTTGACCATCTAAATGATGTTAGCCTGCAACATAACCGTTTAATTGTATACCTGTAGGAAATGAATTTATGCTTCTCACTGCTGTATGATGTTTGAGACAAAAGATGTCTCTGGAATTTATATTTCTAAGATGATACTATTAAATGATTTTTTTCTGACTATATAATGGAATTTATGTAGCAATTAAATGTAAGGATAGTTATATTTTTGCATCTCCTAATTCCATAAAAAACTAAGGAGCAAATGAAAAATTGGAAAAATTTGTAACTTATATACCAGATAAAGTGTAAACTATCCTTAAAAATCAGTGAGAAAAAAAAATGGGGAAAAATCTTACGTCAATTAGGTTTAATTTCAGCTTGATAAAACAAACAGTGCAATACAATCATGGCTTAAAAATACAAAGTTTTCGGGGTGCCTGGGTGGCTCAGTTGGCTAAATATTCGACTCTTGATTTTTTGCTCGTAATCTCACGGCTCATGAGTTTGAGCCCTGCATCAGGCTCTGTGCTGACAGTGTGGAGCATCCTTGGGATTCTCTGTCTTTCTCTCTCTACCTCCTACCCCTCCCTCAAAAATAAATAAATAAACATTAAAAAAAATACAGTTGTGCTCCTTCAAATAAAAATCTGGACCCAGCCTTCCAGGATGAAACTTCTATAAAGTTCTTAGGAACTTAGGCTCCCTCTACCTTTCTGCTCTACCATCCCTGCAGTGTGACCATTATTCTTCTGGTCCAAAATGGCTGCTGAAGCTCCAGCCATAAAATCTGCATTCCAGTCATCAGAAATGATGAAGAGGAAAAGAAAGTATATCTTCTGCCTTTAAGGACATTTCTCTGAAATAGCATAGATCATTTCTGCTTATATTTCATGAGCCTAGAGTTAAAACAGACACACTTAGCTGAAGAGGAGAATGGGAAGTATCTATGTCAAGGGGCTATGTGCTCAACTAGAAGTTATCTCTTCTGATGCTAAGAAACAGAGGGAGGAGAGTTATTAGGGAATAAAAATAGCCCCTTTTTGGGGCGCCTGGGTGGCGCAG